ACAAGTAAGAAGCCAGCCTGCTCATACAGGGAGACTTTCAAAAGAAACAGTAATAGGGCTGGGGGCTTGGCTGGGTTTGGCAGGATGCTGGGCCCAAGCATGAGGCCCTAGGCAGAAGAAACAGGAAAAACAGAGTCCCTAAAGCAACCAATCTGGATCAACAGGGGGAAATATGATGCTGAAGCAGAGTGAGAGGGCAGAGAGGGGTGGAAGGGGGGGGGGGTGCAGTGGCAGGCAGGCCTGCTTTGAATCATGTACGCCTCTCATCATGCACTTGGGGATTTTTTTTTTTTTTTGATGGGGTGTGTCATTCATTTTGGTGCTTGAGTTCCTCCAGACTGGGTCATGGAGAGACTTTCAAGCTACATCCTTTTGAAATTCCCCAGCATTGTCTTCAACACGTCCTTAATTTGTAACACAAAGTCCAGGGCTCACCCTATAGCCTCCCGGTGCCAGCTCTAGACTCAGCCAGTTAGAAAAGGCCACACTTCCAGGCTCTCACCAGCCAGAGCTAGGAATTGTATGCATATATATGCTATATGTGTTCGGTATGTAGACGTGTGAGTATGTGCATATTCATTCATGTAAGTGTGTTTACATCTTTTAACCATGGGTTCATATTGATGCCACTAGTCCCAACAGAATACCAGACATTTCCCACTGCCCCTTCCTTCTTTCCTGACAGGGTCTCATGTAGCCCAGCCTACCTTGAAAACATGCTATGCAGGCAAGGATGATCTGGAGCTTCCAAACCTCTATTCTGCCTCTCAAGTGCTGCGTTATAGGGTGCTGGGCCGGGGTGGATGACAGGGCTTTGGTGTGCTAGGTTAGTACTCTACCAACTGAGCTCCACACCCAGCCCTTAGTCCTTATTTTCTTAGTCTCAGAGTAAAAAGTCTAGCTCCTAAAATATCAATAAATTCCCTCATTGTGCTTGTTACTATTGTTTTTCCTTGCTTTTTTTTTTTTTTTACATTTTTAAAATAAAATTTTGTTTAAATTAGAAACAATCTTATTTTACATATCAATTCCAGTTCCCTCTCCCTCTTATCCTCCCATGTCCCCCATAGGCCCTCCCCCTCAACCTCCTGTTATTGTTCTATTGGTGTGAAAAGACACCAGGACCACAGCAACTCTTATAAATGAAAGCATTCAATTGGGAGCTTGCTTACAGTTTTAGAGGGCCAGTCTATGACCAACATGGTTGGAAACAGACATGCATAGTGCTGGAACAGTAGCTGAGAGCTTTACATCCTCATCATCAGGAAGCAGGAAGAGAGAGAGACAGAGACAGAGACAGAGACTGACAAAGACACAGAGAGACAGTGGGCCTGGCATCGGCTACTGAAACCTACTCCCAGTGACACACCTCTTCCAACAAGGTCACACTTCTTTTACTTTATTTTTTAAAGATGTATTTATTTATTTATTATGTACATTGTAGTCTTTGATCATGTATGCCTGCAGGCCAGAAGAGGGCACTAGATCTCAATACAGATGGTTGTGAGCTGTGTGATCGCTGGGAATTGAACTCAGGACCTCTGGAAAAACAGCCAGTGCTCTTAACCTCTGAGCCATCTCTCCAGCCCAAGGTCACATTTCCTAATCCTTCCCAGTTTTACTAAATGGGGCCAATCTTTCAAACATATGAACCACCGTAGTGGCCATTCTCATTCAAATTACCACACTCATCTTCTCAATACAGGTAAGACAGCTTCAGGACCACTGTACAGCTACCATGCACATAAGAGCTCCCTGCAGAGTTCAAGCCTTTCTTCCCCAGTTCATTTTATATTGAGATCAAAAGTGGCCTGAATTCATTTTTTTTTCTTCTGATGTTAGATTATTTGCTGTTTCTACTCAGTTATGGAGTCCAAAAATAAAAATATATTAAAGCCCCCTCTAGCTTGTTTATGTGTATGTGTTCACAGCTGTGTGTAGGTATGTGTCTGGATCCTCTGGAACTGGAGTTATGGATGGTTATGAACCACTCGTGCTGAGAGCCCAATCCAGATCCTCTGCAAGAGCAGCCAGGCTTCTTACTGGCTGGGTCCATTTCTAGCCCCTCCCCATCCACATTTTAAGCTCAGAACATAAACAAGATTAGCAAGTTTCTGCAACCAGAAACTCTTGGGAAAGGTTTGTTCAAAGTGGTGCCAGTCTCCTACCCATCCAGGTTACTCAGTTTCACCCATCTCTGAAGTGGCTATCTGTCTGCACTTATTTTTATTTTCTCAAAAAAAGGCCAGCCTCGGGTCCAGTGGGATGACTCAGCAGGGAAAGGCACTTGTCAATAAGACCCAAGTTCTAACCCTAGGACCAAAGGAAATGACTCCTGCACGTTGTTCTGTGCATTCAGTCACACACATGCATATACACCTATGTTTGAGAGCCCATCACTGAGGGGAGTCAGGGCAGGAGCTCAGGCTGGAACTAAAGCAGAGGCCACAGTGGAAGCAGCTTGCTCTCAGGCTCTTTCTGATACCTTTCTTACACAGCCCAGGCTCATTTACCTATGGATGACTTCCACAGTAGGCTAGGCCCTCCTATATCAGTTACCCATCAAGAGAATGTCCCTCAGATATGCCCAAAGGCCAAACTGATGAAGAAATTTCTTCAGGTTCCTCTACCCAGGTTCCTCCAGTTGACCAGGAAGATTGTCCTACTCACTGAAGATCAAATAAGATTGTAGTGACTGGAGAGAAGATGGCTCAGTTCTTCAGAGAGCACACTGCCCTCAAAGACAACACAAGAGCAATTCCCAATACCTTAGTGCCTCACAAAGGCTTGTAATAACTCTGCCTTCAGGGGTATCTGAAGCTTCAGACCTCCCTAGGCCCTGGCACTCAAGCACCTAGAAACACACATAATTTTAAATCACACACACACAAAAAAAATAAATAGGTCAGTAACTGAGGAAGAACACTACATTGTGAGAAAAGTGTTTTAGAGCAGATGGAACAGAATACCTAACAATGTCAGGGACCCACAGACACACAGAAGCTTCAGAGAAAGGGAGTGGTAGCAAGGAAAACAGCTATGCCAGTGCCTCCTGGCTTATCACACAATGGAGAGCAAAGAATCCCACATTAGAAAGCAGGCTGCCATCCACCAGGGCTGTTGTTGGGAAACAAGTGCTTGCTATGTAGCCCAGGAAAGATCCCTCTTACCACCTTCCTGCCTCAGCTGATGGAGCTGGGATTACAGAGGAGCCCCACCAATTGTGGAGTTGATTGCTACCCTGCTTTCACCTTTCCAAAGTGGTTATAGTCGTTTCTCTGGAGCCCACGTCAAAACAGAGGCATTAGTTTGGAAGGACAGTTAAGTCATCCATACTACTTAATGCCAAAGAGTAACTGTGCCCTAGAAAAGGGGGACATGGATCCAGGGATGCCAGGGAGGCAGTGTCTGATGGTTGGTTGCACACAATAACACCGGTAAGTGGTAGCAATCATACCAGAGAAACCAGCGCACATTTCTGACATATCTAGGAAATTTATGTATACATGAATGAGTAGCTGAAGATCACTCTTTGAGCCTGGGACTAAACAAATGTGTTCTAGAGAAAACCATGCCTGCTATGGACAGAGAGATCTTGCCTTGAATCCAACTTGAGTTAACAGTTACAAGACCTCAGCGAGTCATTTAGCATCGCCTTGCCTGTGGATGTGCACATTGCCTGTGGACACACGTGCAACGTGTCCTTTGAGAAGTGACTGAGAGATGACACCAATAGTACAGCTCACTGCCCTGGTCCAGGACAACTTCAGGGAGGAATGCCTTCAATAAACCAGATTAAACTAGTAATCGAGGTAAAGAAATTAATAACCAAGCCACCTAATTTAAATAACATGCCTGGAAGAAGACGAAATTCACTCCATCTCCAGCAGTATGTGGTAATGGCAGGAAAAAAAGTCCAATATTTTAGCTCCCATTCTTAGTTTTGAAAGTGTCCCAAGATCTATTTTTTAAAGTGTAAAAATACACACTGATATGTTTATTCATAAAAGACCAACAACTCAAAATTGCTTCCTGTCTAATGACCATGGGCTTAAGGCTTGCCATCAGGCGAACCACAGCACACAGAATCAATGTCGCAGTAAACACAAGGGAACTGGCAATATTCATTAAATAATATTTTCAAAGTTTCTATTTCGGTTTTAAATTCATCAGCAAACCCAAATGCAAGAATGAAAACTCCTTAAATGTTCTCAATCAAACTATTAAAATGTACAGGAAACTTTCAGAGCCAGCAATGAACCCTGGCAGAGACAAATTTTATTCAGTTTGGTCCAACTCCTGTAAAAGACTTCCCTCTCATATGAGCATTTGTCAGCCATCATCCAGATAAGCTGAGAAATACAGGCGGTCACCGTTTCAGTTCGCAATATTGAAAGGGACTAATAAATACACTGCAAAGTCTTAAGACAGCTCCCTGGTAGGGTGCGGGTCCACACAAGGCTACATTTTCACCCCTTAAGGAAAGAGAGAGTGAAAAGGTGACAGAGGAGCAGAGAAAACAAAATCCACTGCTACGAACAACTGGAAGCTGTCTGTCAACTTTGAAAATGCAGTCCCCCCCTCAGTGGAGAGCCACACACAGTACAAGATGATCATTTCTGTTCTGAAGCAGAAAGAGATGCTGGGAAAAGATGAGAAAATGCTTTATCCTGTTCTAAACTCGCAAATATCCAAAATCATTCCCCCTACTAAAAATAACCAAGCCCCGGGCTTCCTATAGGTCCGAAACAAACAAACAAACAAAACAAAACAAAACCCAAGGAGACTCCAGCAGCCCGTGAGAACTTGGGGGCTCCGTGTCCTGCAGCCATCACCGTCTAGACTCCCTGGGTGGCCGCACCCTCGGGTGGTCCCGGGCCTTCCCGAGAGCGTCTACGCGGAAAACCGCAACGTGCCACCCGCGTCCACACGGAAAACCGCAACGTGTCACCCGCGTCCACATGGAGCCCGGTGCCCCGCCGCCCGCGCTCGCCACTTACCTGGAGCCCGGCCGCCACCACCTCGCTGCTGCTGGGCGTTCGGCTGCGGGGAGCGAACCGTGAGCAGGATCCACTACACGAGACGGCGGCCACACCCAGAGCCCTGCACGCCGGACGGGGCGGGGACCGGGGACCCGGGCGCGGTGCGCGGAGCGGGGGCGGGGGCACGCGAGTCCGGGGAAAGGGTCTGGGAACGCGCCGAGGCAGCAGAGCGCGGGGCTTGGGTGGGGGCTGGCGGGAGCGAGCGCGGTCGGGGCGGGGGCGCTCGAGGGGCTCGTAGAACCCAGAGCGCGCTGGGTCTGGGTGGAGGCTGCTTGGTGCGCGCAGGGCCAGGGGCGCCGGCGTCTTAGTGGAGGAGGAGGGGGCTGGCGGGGGCGCGCGTGGCCTGGGCTGGGGTGCACCGGGTGGGCGCGGGCACGGCGTGCAGCTTCTGCCGGGTTTGGCAAGCGGAAAGCGTATCGCAGGCAGTTTCGATTTATCTGAGTGCCTCTGGACGCACCGTCTAAGCAGTGTGCCCGACTTCTTCGCGGCTGGGCCTGGCCAGGGCTGCTCTGCTTGAGGGGCTGCAGGGTCAAGCCAGGAGAGCCACAGATACCCTCTGCACTTATGGAGCTGTGAAATCCGAAGTCAGTCCAGCCAAGCCTCCTGGTACAGCCGTCGGTGGAGGCCTGAGGTTTACTGGGAACATAAAGCTAGTGATACCGGCCCCCTCAACCCCCCCTCCCAAAGGTGCTGAAAACATTTATGAACAAACCGGTGCTTGCACAGAGCCTGTTTCTCACTGTCAGCCTTTGGAAGTTATTCTCTTCATTATGGATAATGACTGGAAGGCCTATCCCAGCATCCTGCCAAATCTCTTAAACACTGTGTGCATCCCAAGCGACTTTGTTCACATCTCTCTGGGTGTTTTATACTGAAAATGTCATAAATAAATGTCTCCTTCCAATCTGATTCTTCACAGGGGCATTGCTCCTGTCCCTACCCCCTTCTTTCTTTGGAGTTAATTCCACTTTGACAGACGGTTGCTATAGCATTCTCTCTCTGACGTCAAACAATTTAAAGAAACAGTGCAGGATAACAGGGTTGCTACGTTGGAGTAGGGTTGTTTAAAAAGTATCAGGAGAGCTTTGACACCCCCACGGCCTTTCTTTCCCTCCTCATGAGCTGCTTCTCAACATCACCTGGAATAAAATCTACTCACACCTACAGGCAAGGAGGCCAAACTCAGCACCCTGTGTGTGACTGGGAAGAAAACGGGGCCTCTGTGGAAAGACCACACCACCACAGATGTGGAAACGTGAGGTACCAGGATGATGAAATGGATGATTTCCCCCCAAAGTTTTGTTTTCCGTAATGCTGGGTGCTTTTTCTTCATTAAGAAGAAAATGAAGAAGTGCCAGGAAGGATTGATTGCAGCTTGAGTAGTCTATTCTGATAGTGTGTTTTAGTGATAAAGCTCTATCGTTGGAAACAAAGGGAAGCTGGTACTTAGGGAGTGCCTGTTTGTCTACAGCTTCCTACCTCAGCCTGCCTCTTTGTATTTTATTCCTGTTTCACAGATAAGCAAACTGGGGCCTCTTAAGATTCATTATGTTATGTGGAGTCCTGAGGGATGTGGCCCCTGAGAGGACCAGCTCCAAAGCCTGTTTTCCTTTGTTGTGATGGGTTCTGTCTTAAGCCGGTGAATGTTCTCATGCTTTCAACTGCATGTTGGAAAACAAGCATTTGGGGAAACAGTGGAAAGCACTGGAGTATTAATTCTATTCTAGAGGAGATCAGGGGGAAACAGACATCAACAGCTCCAAAACACAAACTACAGAGCCTGGAAAAAAAAATGATGATTTTTGATGATTGGTGAAAATTTGATGTGGACAGAAATATTAGCTAAATACTCCCATTTCTTGTTATATTTCTGTTTGCACACCTGTTGCTTAGTTTTCTGAAAAGAACTCCTTTAAGACTAAGCTTATACTGTGTATCAGAAAGTAGTCAGTGAGATTTTCATTACCAAGAGCAAAACAGTCACAGTTTCTGATGTTCTATGAATAAGGAAACCCATGTGTGTGTGGTGGGGGTAGAGGGGTGGGGGGAGAAAAGAGAGAGGGAAGGAAGAGAGAGACACAGAGATACATGTAGGGGGAGAGACAGAGACAGCGACAGAGTCAGATATGGAGGATAAGAGACAGAAACAGAGAGACAGGTACAAAGTCACAGAAACAAACTCAAAGCTCACTGTTGGTGCTACTGGCTGTGTAGATTGCGTCTCAGGGTTGAACCTGGTGATGCTTTGGGGTGCCATAGAGACATTTAGATTACTGACTCACTAACTCACTAGGTTCATATTCTCAAACTCTACTTTATTAGCAGGATATAAGGAGAGCCTCAGAGACAGAATCCAATATTTTTTTTACCTTCATCTCCAGGACACTGTTCATCAGGAGGGCTTGCATCCACTAGGTACTCAGTGGACAAAGAAATGGATGATGACATATTCTGTTTTTCATTCCTAACCAACTCAGAAGCGGGAAGGAATTGGTTAGTGACAGTCTCTTACAGAGGAGATCTTTGTCCCCTTGGTCAAGTTCAGAGACTTTCTGCTCTTGATCCTGATTGTGTGAATTTGAATTCTCCTCACAGTGCGTGGCCCTCACATTTACAGAGCTACAGGTTTGAACCTGTTTTTAAATCATACTCTAGAAATGCTCGGTTTTTTTGCTAACTTTTTTTGTTACATATCTAAGCATGCAATGAATGATAGAACCAGCAAAGTGAACAGTTTTCATTCCTGAATGCTCCCTCTCAGAGTTGAGTGGTTTAGAACTCTGTGGCCAAATTAGGTGTAGCACACCGATTCTACATGGCTCACTACCCCCTGTATCTCCAGTTCCAGGTTATCCAGTGGCCTCCCCTGGCCTCTGAGGGTGCTGCATTCACACACGTGTATACAGGTATGCACAATTTAAAAGACAAAAAGATAAATCTCTAAAAGAAATTATCTTACAGGACCATAAGAGTTCCTCAAGCAAGTGAGAAGTGTGACGCCATAGAAGGAAGTTTCTGTGTTGTTTCTACCAGGCATTCTCAACACAAAGCAGTCATTCAGACTCATCCGTGCTGCTCATATAGTCCTGCACTTTTGTACCAACCCTTGCATAGTGTTTGTTTTGAGCTCACCTTTGCAGTACCCTGCCCCTCACATACACAGTCCTGCTGTGAATTGGTTACAGCTCCTGGATCATTTCACACAGGCACTCAGAAAGAGCAATTTGAAATCCATCTTCCCTAGGCATCTCCAAGAATTTAGGAGAGTGCTACACTGGGCTAACGATGTCCACCACAGGCATGGGAGGGAAGGAGAAGTATACAACCATGTGTTACCTGTTCTTTGTCTTGGACTTCCTGTTCCCAGAATCCTGTTGGAAAGGAACTTGGCACAGTGGAAAGAACATAAACTGCCTATTATGTCAAAGACCCACTTTGGGGCTCATGTGGTGGTGGTTGTTGTTGGTGGTGGTAGTGGTGCGGTGTGTATATGTGTGTGTGTACATATGTAATACTTCCCTTGGATAATATAGTATGCATTGGGTCTACCTTGTCATGGACAATGTGGGTACTAAGTTTTAACATAGTTGGTAAATACTTCTGGCACTGCTGGTCAGTTAAATGTTCACTAATACCTGACCCTATCCCAGGAAGATTTTTGAATAGCATGTTTTAGGATGACACTCTAATATGTGTGCCCTGGTGAGCAAAAATATCTGATTAATTCTCTCTTGCTCCATATGATAAACCCTGAATCAATAGATTCAACCAAGCAGAGTGTGTGTGTGTTTATATGTGTGTGTGTGTGTGTGTGTGTGTGTGTTGTGTATGAGTATGTGTGTGTGTGTGTGAGTTTGTGTGTGGTGTCAGTGTCACACAGCATGCTAGTCACAACAGTAACCATCTATTTTGCTCCTAAGCATCTTTGTATACTGGGCTTGGTGGCTTGACAGAAGCAGCCTTTATTTACTTTTTGCACTGTCAGCTACACTGTTAGCCATGGCTCTCTCACGGGTCTTCCAAATCAGAGCTACCTGTTTACTGGAATACCAGCTATGTGTGTGTACAACAAACTCAGTGTCTTTTCTTACAGGCCTTTCCATGCATTGCAAATTCCCCACAGGCCAGTGGCTGAGTTCTAAGAGCAGGTGTTCTGGAGAACAAGGAGGAAGTACACCGTATCTTGATGACAGTCACATGACTTAACTCTGACTCCCCATGTGTTCTTGGTCTAGGTTGACCAGATCCGAGTGTTAGGAGCACAGACCTCTTCATGAAATAATGACTTGCCCCAGAAGAAATGGAAAGCTAACATGTACCCTTACAGACATCTTCAGAAATACATTCTGGCCCACTCCTGCAATCCCAGCATACTAGTGGCTGAGACAGAAGTGTTGTAAACTATATATATATATATGTATATATATATATATATATAAAATCAGTGTAGGCTGAATAGTGAAACCTTGCTTTAAAAACAACAAAAATCCATACCAAAGCACTGCCATCAGCAGTAAAAGTACAAGCTTCACAAACCTGCCAGCCAACTCTGAATTTCATAACCTAAGATTTTATCTTTCTTTTCCTTTCCTCCACATAAGGCAAGCTTTACGTATGATAATATGTTCTGTCAAGTATTTCAAACAGTAGAAAATGTCTCATTTTTCCTACTTATTGAACAAAAACTAGAGAAACCTGAGAAGGGGAAACCCCAATTAAGAAATCTATCAGGTTGGCCATGGAGATGTCTGGAAGGCATTTGCTTGATTAATGATTGATGTTGGACGGCCCAGTTCACTAAGCTCAGTGCCACTTGGAGGCCGGTGGTACTGAGTTATGTAAGAGAGTAGTCAAGCAAGCCATTGGGAGCAAGCCAGTGAGCAGCATTCCTCTATGGCTTCACTTCAGTTCCTGCCCTGGCTTTCCTTCATGATAAATTACAACCTAAAGCTAAAACAAACTCTTTCCTCTGCAGTTGTTTTTGGTCATTGTGGTGGTTTGAATGAGATGCCCCCCATATGCGTTTGAATACTGCCTGGTCCTCAGTATGTGGTGATGTTTGCCAGGCTTAGGAGGCATGGCCTTGCTGAAGAAAGTA